TATATATATATATATATTTATATTTATATAAAAAGACCAATAATAGCAGTATGTTATGCATCAATAGCAGCAACAGCTTTTCCAGGTTCTGCAGTCATCTGAACAAAATTATAGACATTCAGCACATTGCATTAAAAAAAAAAAAAGAAAAGAATATTATCCAGAAAACAGCAAAGTTCTGTTGGCACCATTTTTTTTATTAGCATCTTAATCATCATCAGATGTTCTTATTTTAAGCCTAGTGATTTTTCTTCTGTTTTTGCATGTGTTGAGGTTTCTAGTCTTCAAAGAATAGTTCTCATACACTGTCAGGAGTAAAAGACAGCAAGGGCAGGCAGACCTTTGTGGAGCAGCGGATGCTGTCACCGATGCTGTGGTTAAGGTCTCGTGTCCCTTTCAGAGACGGAGCGTGTGCTCTGGGTGTCGGATCTCGGTATCAGATCTTGGTGACCCTGTTCCTGAAATTCCTGCTGGGGTTTTTTTTGTGGGGAGCCTAACCTTTTTGAGACTTTTTAGGTTATTTTTTTAATGGGAAAAGTATTCTAATAAGGAATATAGTTCAATAAGATTCCAGTCTTTTTTATAGAGTGTGAGATGATGTATGTAGATCACTTAGGACCCAACACAGGAAAAACCTGTAAACTCCTTTACAGTGTGAAATACATTTGTGTCAAACTGTAAGGTGTAAAATTTTACTTATTTTTAAAGCTTATGTTAAGTGAAGACTATAATAATGTAAATAATATGTTTTAAATCTGGGTTGGCATCTCTCATTAAGTACTCGGGAGACGTTTTTATTCTTTTGTCACTTTGTCACTTGCATTAATACTTTGCAGCTGTGTTTGATTGGTTAGTTTCATTTGCTTTGATTTCTGTGATTGTTCATTTTCTGTTACGTGTTTCTCCATAGCCATTCTTTGCCCCCTACCTTTACACGCCAAGGTATTACCCTGGCGGCTCCCAACATCTCATCTCACGTCCATCTGTAAAAACAAGTTTGCCTGTCAGAGAGCAGAGCAGTGGCCTAGTAAGTATACCAGGGGACTGGAATGTTGGTCTCATGAGCACAGGCGGCATCGAAAGTGCACCTGATTTTATAAACTTATTTCTTACATAAAATGTATTTCATTCTATTTAATGTCTTTTTCTGGGGAGGGAAAATGACTAGCAGTCTCAGGGCTAAATGTTGAGTTTTTACAACCAGCGATTTCTGGCGTAAGTGCTCGTTACCAAAACTTTTAGAACTCACCTTTTACGTCTGCTAATTTCTAATATGTTTTTAAAGGAAGTATATATGTATATATTAGCACCATGGTATGCCTAGTAGAGGATGTAGTGAAAGGAAGCCATCTCTGTCTGATGGTACAAGTTAAACAGGTTAAGGGGAGATCATTCAAATGTATTAAAAACAGAATGCATTTGTGCCTAATACCTTAGTAGGGGCTCCTAATGAAAAACTGAGTTCAAGTGACAGGGAAAGACGAAGTCCATCGGTGTCGTTTTAATGAAATTGTAAACAGCGCGAAGGGGATGAGCAGCCCCTGCCCTTCACGTTCATGGCCAGCTCATCCTGCCTCTCCCTCTCCTGTCCCCTGCTAGACAGTTATCCAGGAGGATGCTGCCGAGGGGCTCCCTTCCCCGACAGACTCCTCGAGGGTAATGCGGTCATGTAGCTTGGACGCTGGTGTGCGTGGCTTCTGCGGCGGCTGCCCTGAGCCGGACGCAGTTCACTAACCGCACTGGATCCGTAGAGTGGCCAGTTACTAGTCATTAGCATGTGTGCATTAATGCAGGAGTGGGCGCTTTGCTTTGTCCTGTACTTCCTCCTGCTTTCCCCCTTCTTCAGTGGCCTGGGGTGGGTCTTTTGTTCTCCAGCAGGGAAGGAATTTTTTCAACAGCCATTAGGAGCAACCAGCTTTGCTTGTTCTTTAGGGTCGAGCTCTCTTTTCACCTTTGACTGTTTTGATAAGGCCTGGACTGGCCACAACATGTGGAGAATCACCTGTGAGACTGCAGAAGACATGAGCTAGGCGGAGTGTGCTTTTGTCTGTTTATTAAAATAATATTTTCAGACAGAGCAAGTTCAGCACATGAAGGAAGTCACATACATTCGTACAGTGGAACTGCATTTTACTGATGCTTTGGTTTGAAAACAATTTGCTTCACAAACAGAAGCATTTGGACAAATTTTGTTTTTGTTTGCAAACTCTGCATTGGCGACAAACACAACCTCAGCCATCTTTCTGACACAAACACAACAATAGCCATCTTTTCCAAAGTCATAGAACAAAAATAAGTTCATAAACTGAGGTCACTGTATTTCTGAACACTTTAAGCTTCTTAAAAAAAAAACAAAACAAAAACCCAGCCGGGCGTGGTGGCGCACACCTATAATCCCAGCACTCAGGAGGCTGAGGCAGGAGGATCACTGTGAATTCGAGACCAGCCTGGGCTACATAGTGAGTTCCAGGTCGGTCTCAACTACATGGTGAGACCCTGTCTCTAAAACAACAACAATGAAAAACCTGTAGAGGAAGTCACTTGGCAGTGATTGTCCAAGACCATGTACTTAGTAAGAAATATTTGCATTGAGCATTAAAATTTTATAGGGGCTGGAGGCGTAGCTCAGTGGTCAAGCACTTGCCCAACATGTGCAAGTCCTGGGTTCTATCCCCAGCACTGAAAAAGGAAGAGAACCAAAGTCCTTGCCTAGCACTGCAGAAAGGAAGAGAACCAAATCCCTGTGGATCATTACTGCTCACAGGAGTAACTTAATTTAGTACAGTTCCTGTGTGTACTGCCATTTTTATTTTCCTTTCTTTCCTGGAGCTGGGGATTGAACCTACAACACTGAGCTACAACCCCAGTCCCCGTACTGCCATTCTTGGAACTACAGTTGCTCAGCAGGTTTTTGATGGAAATCAGATCCTGTGCAGAAGCTGATGGTTTTTGTGATACAGACCTGCTGTAGCAGCAGCCATTTCTGTGCTCAAATATGTCAGCAAACAGGTGACAGAGAAAAGTGTAGTTGTTTTCTTTGGGAAACCATTGGGAAAGGCCAGTCATGCAATGAATTTTTGGGAAAGGGGGAATAATGCGGTTCCTGAGCCGTGGTAGGAGCCCAGTAACAACGTATGAAAGCCCTCTGCCTGCTTTGGTGCCTTTGTTTAGTAGAATAACCATATGATTTTTTTTGTTCTTTTAATATTAAAGGGTAGTTTAATAATTGCCGTAGTTCATAGTGGATGCTCACCAGACTTCCTTTGCTGTCGAGAGCTTACCACTGACACAGCATGAAAGATGTGTGTTGTCCAACAGTAGTCTTAAGTAGATGCATAGTTCATGTCTAATCCAAAGCAGTGGTGGAAATTCAAAGGACATGTGTGCGACAGTCACCAGGTGCACTGTAGCAGGACCGGCGGCTGACTCACGTCACTTGGTCACCTGTCCCCCGTGTGTACTGTTTGTCAGAAAGGCTGCTGTAATAATTCAGGAGCTAAACAGACATTTGTGAGCAAATTGTCATTATAGATACAGAATAATGTGAAGGGGAATAAAAAAAACAACAGACCGAAAACAGTTAACCAGCTATAGTGTTTTCTAAGTAATAGGTAAGCTCATATATATATATATTTTTTAACCACAGGAGTTTCTGATCAACCTTTAAAAGATAGAGCCTTAGGAAATTAGTTGAGTTTTCTTTCATTTAACACTAGGGATTGTAGCTTGTGGACTCTCGCCAAGGATTTACCAGATAGATTATAAATACGTCCACATATTTCACAAAGTCAAGGACTTATAAAACATGTGTCCACGCTAGAGTTTTCCCTACAGTTTTATCACTGAGGGAGAGTAAATGTCAGTTCTCAAAAAATGGAACAATAAGGTAGACCCCCAACTTGCTGGACTAGTGTTTCCCGTTTCGAGGCAGAGCAGTCTTTTCGGGGAATGAGGTCTAAATCTGAGCTCTTGTTCATAAAACCAGGAGAGCAGGCCTGGGCTCCACCTTGCGGCGCCACCCTTCCCAATCCTCCCGTGGACAGAGTTAGAATTCATCTGGACCTAGGCACACAAAGACCATATATGGCACAGTCACGGTGAGAGAAATGGAAACAAGCAGACATGCAGTATGAGACCCTAACCACGTAGAATTAGCCGGAGGACCCACTGTCCTGCTGTATCTTGTGGCCACCTCCTGTGGGTGTTGTGAGGAGTTCCTGTGCTATAGGAATCCACTCACAACACCTGGTGAGTCGGGTGTGGTGTTGCACACCTGTAATTCAGAACTCTGGGAGGCGGAGGCAAGAGAATTACAAGTTGGAGCCCAGCCTGAGTAACTTAAAGTCATGTAGCAAGACCCTGTCTCAAAAGAAGAGAATGGAATGGGGCTGGGGACTCAGTGAGAAGGTTCTAGGTGCAGTCTCCAGTGTCACAAAAACCAGCAACAGAGTTGCTCTGCCGGGTTGTGAGAAGTTTGTGCTACAGTGAACTGGGTGTGGAGGTACACAGTGGCCTTCTGGGAGCTAGTGAGCTCGTACTGTGTGCAGACACCTAGCACGCACACCGCCCTTTCCTAGTCAAAACTTCCGGGCAGCTGTGAAGCTTTCAGGGCATCCAAAGCTCACGCTGAGTTTGAGCCCCACCTTGCGCAGGGCTCCACTTGCAGTGGCATCTGGGTCACCCTGTGCCCTTGTGGAGGGAAGGACCACTCGGAGGGCCTGGGTGGGGCCAGGGTCCCCCGGTGACGTTCTGTGCTGTGGCCTCCAAAGAGTGGCTGCATGGCTGCTGCTGCTGCTAGTGGCGCATGCCCCTTGACGATGTGTTTTCAAAGGAAGGCACAGCATGGCCCTTCTGCAGCCTTCTGTCTGTCCCCAGCCCATTCCACACCGGCACTGCTGATGCCCAAGTGCCACAGCTGACACAGCTCCAAGCGGGGAGGAGTGGGAGCACACTGCAAACGTCACCAAGGGTGTGGAGCTCTCAGCAGCCCTCCGTCCTCCACCTTCTCAGGGCTTCTGGGCAGCTTCAGAGGGCTTTTCATCTGGTAGAAACAACGCAGCAAAGATTAACACGGAGTTTGGTTGTAAGGAACTTGAGACTCACTAAGGCAGCATTAATCCAATACTGTGATTTCTGGACTGCTCTTGCCTTTGCTTGGAGAGATTGATGAAAATTATTGGCTTAATCAAAGTTTTCAAAAATGCAGGTCTTGCTTTCCATTAAATAAGATCCAGTTCATAGAGGGACCAAGTAAAAAGTAAAAATGAACTCATCTGTAGAGAATTTGCATTTCCACCACTGGTTTAGGACATGTAAGCTGTGTTCAAGTAAGTGTGTGCCAAACCAGGCTCCTCTGTTCATTCAGGAGAAGACTGGGACAAGCAAGTCACAGACGCTGTGGGTAAGGAACGGGCGCTTCGCGTTCCCCGAGGGCCTGCACATCCTGAGCCAACTGGGGCCCCACATGCACTGAGCAACATCGCACGATAAATTTCAGCCAAAGTGACTGGGATATGTTCACAGAAATGAAATTACAGTGTCATCTGTGAAAGTCACGCATACCATTAAAAGTTTGAAAAAGCGCCAGTCATGTTCATTGCAGTTGCTTAGTACTTCTGTTTTTTTAAAGACCGTCCATGAAGTAGTGTTAAGCCCCATCCGATTTACTATTTCTTGAGTAGTGGGAAGACTCAATTATATGGTGCAGCACAGCTAACAGAAGCTTTCTCTTAGGTTTCAGGGCACCCTAAAGTAAACTATAATTTCATTAGCATTGCTTTTTAAGTATTTTTGCAAGTCTTCATGGGTACATATGCAGTCTCTCTTTAAAATGTATTTTTAAGAAGACTGATAATCTAGGAAATGAGGTTCCCATGACGTACTCTGGGTACTGCTATTAACAGACATCTGGCGTTAGGCAGGCAAAGCCCTGCTGAAGCAGTGGTGTCAGTTAACTTTGACACAGGATCGTCAGTCATCTCTACACTGTTTTAATCATTCTAAGAATATTTGTCAGGTGTGGGGCAAATGCCTGTAATCCCACTGCTCTGGAGGCTGAGGCAGGAGGATCATTGCAGGTTCGAGGCCAACCTGGGCTATAAGTGAGTTCAAGGACCAGGCTGAACTGCATAGTGAGATCCTGTCTCAAAAACAAAAACAAAAACAGAAAAAGAATATTTGCCACCAATTTAATAATAATTAACAGCAGTGGTTGTTTGAATTAGAGCTTTGAAAAGTTTGTATCACTAAAATAGTTATGTTAATCATAGGCTGCAGATTTTTTTTTTTCTCTGTCACAGTCATGATTTTTTGGGCGGAGAGATTCTCAAAGGCCTCTCTTTTGAAATGCCTTGCAGGGCATCTGTTGTGATCTCCACACCCAGTGAAGTGTCCCCAAACTGGAATATTTCCAGACATGAACTACATGTGGCTAGGTTTTCATTTTATGTCATGATCAAACGGCGGTCTAAGCCTCATTATTAAGTGGTTTAAAAATTCAGGTTTGTAAGTTGGAGGGGCACTGAATTTTCACAGCAAAATTGACCTACCTAGTTTTCTTATTGATTGTATGGTGCACATTTTATTCCTTTAAGAGAAAATAAGAATTTTGAGCGTTTAGTTTTAAATTACTGAGCACCTGTTTATGAAATTAAGGTGTGCATGTGTGTGTGTACATGCGGAAGGGTGGAGCTCTGAGCTAGGGAGTGACAGTTATGACACATGTATTTCGTCCTTGTCTTTCTGATGTTGTCCTTCACTCTGTTCTGTTCCTTCCTTAAAGTTGTGTGGCTCTGGGTCTCACAGGCAGAGACAGGTACAGACTCTCCATGAAGTCTCACGCGCTTTCCTCCATAGGCGCTACTAGAAGCAATCATTCGCTACGCATGCCCGGCTGTTCCTAAATTTCTGCTTATTTCAGTGCCTTGGTTTATTTTATAGCTGCTTTCAGCCTTTCCATCGCGTTCATTTCTGGCTAATCAACTTCGCGCTTACTTAATGAATTTATCAGAGGATGTTTCAGAGTATAGTTTTAATCTACTTACACTGTAAAATGAAAGACCTAATTTTAATGCTTTGATAGCTTTACTTTTACCTGGAGAAATTCTGATTTGCATGCATTTTGAAGTTTATATTTAACAGTTTAAACAACCTAACATTTGCTGTGTTCAATTTTCTATATACAAAAAAAATTTTTTTATAAAAAATGGTTTTAAAAGATAAATTCTGATTTATAAAGTCAGTATGGTGAAATCATCTGTTCTTATAACAAGTAAATTTCAAGTAAGAATGCATGATACATGTTACAATTTGAATTATTCTTTGTATTCTCCAAGCAATATATTATTTCTATTAATAATTTATCTGCTGAATTGTTAAAAATGCTTTTATTTCCTTAGAACTTTTATGCTCTTTCTCCTTCCTTTCTTGAGACTTCTATCTAAAAATCATTATCTGGATTACAAGATTTATTTGGTTTCAAAATAATTTTACTCTATATGATCATTATAGGCAACACCCGTCATGTAATTACTATTTCCCCTTATTCAAAGAAACTCTTAATAGTTTTCATTAACTGAGAATTATCCCTCGATAAAGCCCACCTTATAAATAGTCAAGTGTGACAGTGTAAGTTTGTTAGAATCCGATGTCTGTGTGCATCTGTCTTCTCTTATGAAGTCATTCAGAAATAGTATTCTGAATACTCCACAGTGTGGGAAAAATGAGCTATTCTTTTTTGAGTTAAATCAAAACCAATATGTCAGTGCAGATGTGTCCAGGGTGAGGAGACAGATCGAGGGAAAAGAGCCCTGGAAAGACAGAAGTAAAGGTCACTGGGAGGTAAGCGAAGTGCTGTGAGTGGTGCGCAGCAAGTGGCAGAGGACAGGAAGCCCGACAGGCGTGGCACGTGACCCTGGGAAGAAGAGGTCTGGCAAGGAGGCTCCCGCCTGGGTGCTGGAACCGCGTGACTCACTGGGACAGGCTTAGGCTGCCAGGGCACTTGGGGGAGGACAGGGGTTTCTTCTAGGGCTGAAGATGTTCTAAAACTGATAGTTCACACTGTGTAAATAGACTTTAAAAATTATTGAACTGCATGCTTTAAATGAGGGAGTTGTATGGCATATGAATTCTATCTCAGTAAAACTATTTAAAAAGAAAAAGATAATACAAAGACAGCATTTCCAAAGTAGCTATTGGATAATTAATACTTTGAGTATTGGCTGTGTTCATCCAGGCAGGAAACAAAACCACATAAAATGATGAAGACAACTAAATCGGGTTGGGGATTTAGCTCAGAGGTTTCACCGCCTGCCTCTGAAGCGCAAGGTCTCAAGTTCAATCCCCATACAAAAAAAAAAAAAGGCAACTAAATCATAGAAAGATGAGTGTTTTGCTCTTTGTGCTTTCATAGCATTCAACCCTGGACCATATGTGTCACATATGCAATTTATATTTAATTAAAACCAAACTACAGATATATATGTTTTATATGATACATCTCAGGTCATTAACCTCCAAACTTATATGGGCCTGTATTGTACTTACTGAGACTGCCTCGCTGTCACAGACGGCTGCTCTGTCTGTCCAGTGTGGTCCTGTTCCTTCACTGTATTTATGCTTATTTGTAACATCTATGTACTCTGTGTGTGGATACACACTGTGTAGTATGGGACTGTCAGTAGTATCACATTACGCTTCCACATTACAAATAAGGTCAGTGAGGGCTAGCGCATTTTTGACTTTTCAGTAGTCTACTTTTGACCACGAAGTGATGAGGGAGTAGAAGTGCACATACCTTTGAGGATGTGGTAAATTTGATTTATCGTCTGAAGGTTAGATTGAAGGTAAACAGGATAGACTTGAACATCTTTATCTTTATTCTCTTTATTCCTTGGTTTGTTCTCTTTTTATTGCGGTTTTAGTTTCTATAACCTCCTCAGAAGTAGTTGGAGCACACTTAAGTAGGAGATTAGAACACCTGATCTGCTAGGGTTCCGGGCCAGTGGGCCCCAGGCTGTGCCATGACCTAGAAGCCCTCAGGCAGCCTCTCCAGGTGTTCACAGGACAGCAGGGGGCCGCAGTGCCAGTGCTCTTGTTACGGAAGCCTCTCTCCTCGTGTAGCAGGGCAGCAGCCCGTTCTCTTGAGGTTAGGTTGTAAACAACTGCAAGCCCACCCTGGCTGGGCCCCAGAGTGTTCTGTCCCGGAAATGGCTGTGACAGGCCCTCCCTGCTGCTCATTAAGGGGTCACAGTGGTGAGTCTGTCCCTGATGGCCTTCCCTGGCCATGTACACAGTTCTTGCACATAACTTCGCTTCAGTAGTGTCACTGAGGGACTTGTTCCGTCCATTACCCCATGTATCTGGTGTTACATGCTGTCCTACTTGTGTTTTTTCCTCGACTTCCCAGGGATCAGGCCCCGCCACTGGACCAGTGTTGTCCCTGAACTCAATGAACGTGGATGCTGTGTGTGAGAAGCTGAAGCAGATCGAGGGGCTGGACCAGAGCCTGCTGCCCCAGTACTGCACCACAATCAGAAAGGTGAGGCAGGCGGCATCTCTTAGGGAGGGCCTCTGCCATTCGGGACCTCTCCACTTGCATCCTAGCTTTGCTCTTTGTCTCTCGATTGGTGAATGGCTTAAAGAAAGTAACGGAGCTGGATTATGAGGTTACCAGAGTGCGAAATGCCTTGCTGCACAGGGCTTGGATTCCCACTGAGCTGAGCATGTCATTTTCCCAGTGCAGAGAAGAGAGCGCTTGGAGGCTTTTTAGGTGGTCTGTTTTCTTAATTGTGTAGGTTAAGCATCCCTAATCTGGAAATCTGAAATCCAGATTGCTCTAAAATTTGTGACCATGAGGGATCAGTATAAGTTTCAGACTTCAGATTTCCAGATCAGGATGTGTAGCTGCTGAAGTCCTTGCAGGTATTCCAAAACCAGGAGAACTCTGGAATCTGAGGTGCTGTGGGGCCAGTCATTTAGAAGATACTCAACCTGTGATGTAAATTTGCAGGATTTTGTAATTATCAAAGTGAGCCACACTTGCTTCATTTCCCACAAACTCATTTTTGCATCAGACGGGACTTAGGCCCCTGCCACACTTGATGAAACCACGTAAACGTGGGTTTGCAGAGCTCATACTGTATGCAAGGCTGTTTCTTTTGAAATCCTGTTCTTGGGCTGATAGGGCAGAGTTCGCCGAGTCTTTTTATAGTGGGTTTCTCCATCTAGTTTCACTCTTATACCAGAGTATTAAAGTAGAGCATTAGCAGTAAGCCTGTGGTGTAGGCATGCTCGAGTAATGGCATCGAAGAGAACCTTTTGAAACAGTCACCAGCACATGCAGGCGCTGTTGTACTCCTCTCAACCTGCATGGGCCAGGCGGGTGTCAGTGGTGCCCACTTTCTCCTGAGCTCTCCTGAGCTCCATGTGCCGCCTGCGCGAGCCGGCAGCCTGGCTCATGTGCAGACCCAGCTTCTGGCTGCTGGGAGTGCGGGAAAGCGAGGGCTCGATGCCAGCCCTTGCAGCACGTCAGTTCCCGTTAGGACAGGGAGTCTCTTCCCACTGACTGCTGCTCCAGCCCTGGCTTCTTGGAGCCCGGTACCTGCGAGGTTCTTGGTACTCCCCACAGTGCAGACTCCACCGCTGGCACTGCTGCCTCCAGTCTTTTCAGGATTTGCAGGGAATCCAAACATCCTCCCGGTGTGCTGCTAAGCACAAGTGGTCCAAAATTCTATCACAGTTAATAAAGTTGGGTTTTACAGTTCATAAAACCAATGAGCTGCCTGGTAGGAGCAAAGGAGACACTACTGTTTCTCATTTGAGGGGAACTAGCATTAGACAGGCTGCAAAGTGACGAGACTAGTGCCGGTGTGGCTGTGAGTGTGAGTTTAACGTCTGTCTGGGAGTTAGGAGATGCTGTCCTTTCTGTGCAGCCCCTATGACTAGTGAACTGGCTTGTCACACGCATCGTACTTTATCTCCAACCAACACCCTCGAGACAGATGTCTTTCTCCCTCCAAGAAGCTCTGTTCATCTTCATCTTCTCTGAGATTAGAAAAGAAAACCTTAGCAGTCGCTTGCAGTCCGTGGCAGAGTGGGTGTTGGGCAGCGCTGGGGCGGGTTGGCTCTCGGCATGGCCTCTGAAGGTTGAGTTGTTTCACTTGAACGCTCGCTGCTTGGGAAGAGGAGGAGCTTCTGCTCAGACTGGGCGCATTTATTACTTTATCACATGGGATGTTGGGTCAACCGCCCCAGTCTTTAATGGCTTCTTTAAAACTACAAGTGTACTTTTCAGTCACCAGTAGCTCAGCGTATTTTACATTTTGTTTGTCTTTATAGTTGTTTTTATTTTTTCTCAGGCAAACATAAATGGCCGGGTGTTAGCTCAGTGTAACATCGATGAACTGAAGAAAGAGATGAATATGAATTTTGGAGACTGGCACCTTTTCAAAAGCACGGTGAGATATTTATTTATCAAATTATTCATGACACTGTACACAGCCAGTGCCGAGCGTCCTGGCCTGAACTCGTAGTGTCCCACGGTTAGCATCAAACTGGGTCTTACCTTGGCAGAGCCCCTTGTGGTGGAACAGCTCTGCCTTTGGGACACTGTGTGCGGAAGTCCCAGGGCGAGGTGGCCACTCCTCAGCTTCCAGATGCCAGAGTCTCCCTGACCTAACTGTGGTGGTCCTCAAAGGCCTGTCAGGCTGCGCCCAGCTGAGTCACCACTGCTGTCTGGTCAGACTCCTCACTGAGCCCCCAGCGGTGCTGGGAACCCGGCAGGCCCCTCACCCTGTGTCCCGCACCTAACGCCTGTGGCTCCGGGCTGTGGCTCCCCAGCATCCTGCTCTCTTGGAGCTGGGCCAGCCCTAGGTGGGGTTCTTCTCCCTGATTAAAATCTGCTCTTCCTACTTGAGTGACACACACCAGCTGCACTTCATCTCCTTCTCTGGTTTTAAACTGAAGTAACAAAGTAAGGGACATGCCGAAGTGTTGCTGTACTGAGATGATTTCTGCCATCACTTTACTGATTACAGATAAGATGTAGTGTACGTTAATTAGCATTCCCTGACAGGAAGTACGCTTTCTCATCTCCATCATAATTTATATTTTATTTTCAAAATCTATTTCTTCTTTTTTTTTTGGTTTTTTGAGACAGGGTCTCACTATGTAGCCCAGGCTGGTTGAACTCACAGCGATCCTCCTGCCTCAGCCTCCTGAGTGCTGGGATTACAGGAGTTCACCACCACCACACCCGGCTTATTTCTTCTTTTTAAATTTTTTTATTTTGGAAATGGGTCTTATCAGGTGGTTCAGGCTGGGACCTCCTGCCTCAGCCTCCCAGTGCTGGGATTTCTGGTGGGCACCGCCACACCCCACCTCGAAACTCACTTCTGAAGCTCCTCACATGTAATCCTCAGTGTAGACGCAATGTTTTCCCTCCTGTCCAGATCCTAGAAATGAGGAACGCGGAGAACCAGGCTGTGCCCGAAGACCCGCGCCTCCTCCCTGAGAACGCCAGCGCTGCAGCTGCCCACGGGGAGTCCGCCCGCCGGTCCGCACATGGGGCCGCGGAGCTTCCGCACACTGAGCTCTCTGGCCAGGCGCCCTACACACTCAACTTCAGCTTTGAGGAGCTCAACACGCTGGGCCTGGACGAGGGGGCCCCAAGGCACAGCAACCTGAGCTGGCAGGTGTGTGCCGAGCGAGTGAGTGGGGATCAGAGCATACTCTGTGTGGGTGGCCCCCATTCTTTCATGCTGTAAGAAAGGTACAGGAAGCAGCTCAGCCTTCCTGTGCACCTCATGCGGCTCCGGCCACCCCGTCCTGGCCCTGAGCACCATGTGCCGTGGTGTGGTCTGGGGAGGGCCAGGGGGAGAGGCAGTTGAAGGACCAGGAGGAAGTCAGCTAGGGTGAGATGGAGCGGGAATCAGAAACCTGCAGCCCAGGGAAGCACCCGGCAGCCTGTGTTCCCACAGTGTCGGTGCGGAGTGAGTGTGCTTTCTGTCCTCAGTGCCACACTTCTACTTAGCTCACTTTATTGCTGCGTCTGACTCCTTCTGGGAAGAGCAGCGAGTTAGGCCAGAGGCCAGGTCCTCTCCTGTCCTTCAGGGTCTGCTTGGCCCCCGCGGTGCCCTTGTTCGCCTCACAGCCCGAGGTGCAGCACCCCTCTCCCCTCGGCATTCCTGGGGGCCCCAGAGAACTGTACCCCACATACTTCCGGTATCAGAGACCCAAACGAAAGTGTTTTTCTTTGTACTTCTTTTTTTTTTTAGTACCGGGGATCAAACTCAGGCCCTTGCGGTTGCAAGGCAGGTAGCAGAACCACTGAGCTAAATCCCCGGCCCATGTATTTCTTAATGTATTTAAAATAAATTCATTATATGTTAACATAAGTAATATCATTATGAAAAATTACATTTTTATATTTTCCAAAACAAAATCAGATGAGGATGGGATTATTTTGCCATCTGTTTAATGCCTGTCTTCATGGAAGACAGTGGGGTCCCCGTGTGCTGCTTCCTGGGATCTGGGGTGATGTCACATGCCTGTCGTCCTTTTAGCGTGTGTCCTCTGTGTAGAGGGGCCCAGCTGAGGCCTCACGTCCCAGCGCTGCTCATCAAAAACCTTCCTCAGGCTTCTGTTACCCTGTTCCTCTGGGGCTCCTCTGCCCCGTCTTCCCTCCCCGTCCTCCTCCTCCTCCCTCCCCTCCTCCTCATCACCCTCCTCTGCCTCCTCCTTCCCCTTTTTTCCTCTCTCTCCTCCTTTTTCTCCTGGTAGTTGAGTATATTCTCTTCCTCTAAACTGACATTTGAAAGAAACTTCATACCGTACAAACTGAGACAGACTTACACACCTTGAAGACTAGAGTGTTTTGTTTTAACTCTTCTTTGTCTCTTCTAAGAGGACGTTTTAGAAAAAATAATCTTGCCTTAAGTAAAATTTAAAAATTTGAAGTTATAAAAGCAAGTGTTAAGATTGCCTGATGTAATCTTTAAGTACACTTTTACATATTAACCGTGAGTTACTCTGAGGAGTTTACTGAGCTTCCTGATGGCAGGACTGTTACCAAGCTCCCAGCTCCTGCCACCTCGGTCAGGTGGGATTCTTCCTCGCAGAGAGCATGGTGTCGGGGTGAATTCTGGAGTGGTGTGCGCGTGCGCCTCCCTGGCGATGTCTGCCCTCGCCATCTGAGCTTCTCCTCTGTCTCCACAGTCGCAGACCCGCCGGACGCCGAGTCTCTCCAGCCTCACCTCGCAGGACTCCAGCATGGAGATCTCCAAGCTCACGGACAAGGTGCAGGCCGAGTACCGGGATGCCTACCGCGAGTACATCGCTCAAATGGCCCAGCTGGAAGGGGGCCCGGGCTCTGCCGCCGCCAGCGGCCGCTCCTCCCCACATAGCGCCTTCGACGAAGCCCGGAAGCCCTTTCTGGCGAAGCGGGCCGACGTTCTAGACCACTCGTCCTCAGGCGTGTCCACCAGTGACGCATCGCCCCTGGACCCCATCACGGAGGAGGACGAGAGGGCCGAGCAGCCGGGCAGCAAGCTGCTCCCGGGCAGGAAGGGTGCCGAGAGGCCCAGCCTCTTCCAGACGGAGCTGAAGCTGAAGGGCGGTGGGCTGCGCTACCAGAAGCTGCCCAGCGACGAGGACGAGTCAGGGCCCGAGGAGTCGGACCACACGCCGCTGCTCCGGGAGAGCAGGGACCGGAGGGCCGAGGCACAGGCCCCGGAGCTCAGCGCCGAGCCTCTGCGGAGCCTCGCCAAGGCCAAGGAGTTCTTGTCGGATGCGCTGCTGGACAAGAAGGACTCGTCGGACTCAGGCGTGCGCTCCAGCGAGAGCTCGCCCAACCACTCCCTGCATGGTGAGGTGGCCGGCGGTGCGCGGCTGGAGAGGGCCGACCTCATCGAGCTGGACGACGGGGGCCGGGGTGGCCTGCCAGACCCCGGGCTCGCCCGCATGTCCATCTGCTCAGAGGACAAGCAGAGCCCATCCGAGTGCAGCCTCCTCGCCAGCAGCCCCGAGGAGGGCTGGCCTGCCTGCCACCGGGCCTACAACCTCAACCGCACGCCCAGCACCGTCACGCTCAATAACAACTCGGCGCCTGCCAACAGGGCCGGCCAGGTCCTGGATGACACCGATGGCACGCGGGAGACCTCGCAGGTCCTGCTGCGGCCCGGCCCAGGCCCCGCCGCGCTGCAGAACGAGAATCTCAAGAGCCTGCCGCACAGGCGGGGCCAGCGCACCAGCTATGCCCGGCTGCCCAAGGAGCCCTCGGAGCTGCACTCGGGAGCCCCGGCCGATAGTGCAGGCTTCGGAGAAGAGAGAGAGAGCATCCTGTGAGCCACCAGCCTGCCTGCCTTCCTCCCAAACCACAGCCCCGAGAGGCACTCGTCAGCTGCCCCCGTCCAGTTCTCCCTGCTCTTACTGGACCTTTCGTTCTCATGCAGCGCAGTCAGTGTCTCTGAGCAGAGATCAGCTCAGAGATACCGGATGGGCTTCATTTGCAAAAGAAAATCTAGGATTCCTTTGCAGAATATGCATCCTCAAACATGGAAGCAAGACGTGGCTTCGCACGTGGATGGCACTGAAGCCAGTTTCCCTCCCGCGGGCTTTAAGTTAGAGGAGGGCTGTGGGCCCGGAGCCGTGCAGACTCAAGGTGGATGCCCAGTGAGTTAGGGGCCTGCATTCATTCTAATAGGAAAATTGCTAAGAGGCGTGAAACTTTAAGTAGAAAACACAGAATGATAAGGCTTTAAAATTGGATAAGAAAAGCCAGGCGTAATGGCACACACGGTAACCCCAGCACTCTGGGAAGCTGAAGCAGGAAGATTGCAAGTTGGTCCACTCAGCGACTTAGCAAGACCCTGTCTTGAAATAAGAAAGGGTTGGGGATGCAGCTCAGTGGGAAGGCGCCGGGTTCAGTCCCTCAGACCCCAGAGCTGACGAGGAAGTAAGCCCACAGTGCCATGAAGTAGAACTATCGCCCACGGCCTGGTCGCTCATCCCCGGGCCCAGCCTTGGTGCGCTGAGCATCAAGAGTTCTCTGGAGAGAGTCGGGGTAGTGTGGGAAGAACAGACACAAAGAGTGTTCATGGTATGAATGTGTGAGGGAATCATCCTGTCAGAAATGGCCAGGAAATATTTAATTAGACGAAATGGTCATCATTTCCTGTACCATGTCACAGTTTACTACATCTTTCATCTCCTAAATCAGCACTATAATTCTGGAGGAATGCTATAAAAAAGGAAAGCATTTCAAAATAAAACCAAAAATGTAAGAAGCAAGAGGAAAATGAAGCTGAAAGTAGAGTGGACTATAGACCCTGCTGCTTTGCGCTCGCCGGGAGCCCAGCTCGGAGTGCCCACCTCTGTGAGCTGCAGTGAGCTCCCTGAGCTTCCTCACTGACGGGAGGCCTGGGCGGGGTGCATTTGGGATCCCAGGCGTGTGTGGCCCGGCCCTGGTTACACGGTCATCTCATGTAGCGGGTTCTTCATACACAGTGGTGCCTCGGTCCACGAATGCTGCTGTTGGCAAAATTTTTTTCTGTTTGCAAACTCTGCACTGGGTAATGAACACAACCATGGCCGTCTTTCCCTGAGTCATAGAACAAATTATGTTCAAGAATGGAGGCCCTGCTGTACCGCAGACCTGTCCGCGTGGCCTGTCCTTGTGTGGACTCCTGCCCGTCTGCCCGTTGCCATGGTGTTTGGGTGTAGTGAGCATTTCCGTAAAGTTTGTGTTCTGCATGATCTTTAACAGATACCTTAAGCACTGATCCTGAGGTGGTGACATTTTAGGTCCTAGCGTTGCTCGGTCTGTGATTAGCGGCCTCTCTGGCCTCCTGTACCTTCTTGGGTGAGTAGTGCTCCTCCCTGTCGTTGGTGACTATGTTCTCCTCATGCTTTGTGACAGTGATGCCAGTGTTAAGTGCACAACCAGATTCAGTAGACAATAAAGAACTGCATGCTATTTTGACTCTTGAAGTTTATTTGTAGCAATAATGATTCACATTTTTATTAAAAATAAAGTCCTGTGTGTGCTTGTCTGGTCACGGGTGTGAAGTTCGCAAGGATTTCTGGGCCTCAGGGAGCCAGGTCAGGGGCCCTGGCCAGCCGCCCACCAGGCCTCAGGGGAGCTTGCTCTGTGGGCCTGGCCTGTGCTCCTTGGGAGCCACAAGCACTGCGAGGCTCCCACCTCCCCCTCAGTCTCTCTCGAGTCCCTGGACAAGTAGCTCTTTCGTTCCCGCACAGAGATGAGCGAGCCTGGCAGGTCTGGAGTCCCACGCCCCCTGCATGGGATGATGTGTGTATCCGTGACTTGAGTACACAGCCCTGTCTGGCTCACATGTGATAGCACAGCAGATGGGGGTGATGTGGGCACTGCCCCTGCCTGGAGCAGTTGGGTGCCCGAGCTCCCTGCGCCGGCCCTGTGGGTGGGTATGGAACTCACCCGAGTCAGAGTCACGGCTTTTACCAGAGTTCACTGGACGGCTCCACCATGCCCAGAAACAAACCAAAGCAATCTCCAATAGCAAAAGGAAAACTTGTCTTCGGGTTATATTCTCCTTCCATGAGATTTGTTACTACAGTAATCAGAACGATTTTAATTACCCATCCAACCAATTTTAGAAGTGTATTTGCTAAAACCCTCATCTTGAGCCCTTGCATTATCTGCGTGTGTCCCAGTGACACAGTGAAGTAGCTGCAATCATTTTCCCCGTACTAATCGTGAGTTTTGAATGAAACTGAATCCTTTTTTTTTCCTTGTGTCCAAAACACTGTCCTAACTTTAAAAAGCCTGAAGATCTCATAATGTGTGCTTACACCAGGAATTCTCAGCCTGTTTGGAAGTACCCAGAGCTTAGAGAATCCCTGAATTCCTGGTGAACTCCTAAGTCTCCCTTCTACCAGGAAAAAAGGGAAGCAAGGGCGCCGGTCCCTTGTTCTGTGGGTGAGAGGTCTTGAACACACAGGTGGGCAGAAGAGACCATGACATTTACTCCTTCGGCCTGCACTTGAAACTGGGCTCACAGGCTCCATGGTCCCCTTCTGCCATTGTGAGCAAGTGAATTGGAAAATACAAATTTGCTGTAGGTAATGGCAGGCCAGCACTAGATGGCTTTTTAGTGATGAATCATTTCTCAAAGGTTGAGAATCCCTGGTGGGGACTGACTTGAAAGCCTTATGTAATTTTCAACTTTTCATGCCTAGGAAGAAAATGCCATCCTTGACATAGATAGCTCCTCCGGGCACCCCGATTAAGGTATGTAAGAAACGAGGTTACGAGGGATTCTCGTCTCTGCCGCACAGCTGCGGGAGGCTTCCAGATTCTGGAGAGTAACACTGGCACCTCCCTCTGGGGAGGCACCTCAGGGACACGGGATGCCAGTGCAGTCCTGGCCAGTCACTGCCAGAGTCTGTGGGCCCTGGGTGTGGGCGCAGTGGCCTCAGGCAGAGCCCTCCCAGGTTTGGGGCATGAGGAAGTGACTAGGACAGCGGGTGCAGTCAGAGAGCAGGCACAGGCCCCTGCCATGGTGGGCTCAGACGCCGTCACCCAGCAGACTAAAGACCTAAGAACACATCTTGAAGCCGGTGCACCACAGTGGGGTGACGGTGCCTCGGCCTGGGAAAGGGGCAGTGTCCACACTTCCGAGGGAAGAGAGGAAACCGTGCTGAGTGAGAGGTTTCCACTCCTACCCCCTCGCCTTCCCCTAGCAGTTGGATCTTTAAAAGCCAGTAAAAACCCAACCAACCTAAGACCAGTCTGGAACAGCAAGACCCGACTCCATTGTGCTGTGAAGGTACGGGCAGCAGCACTGTTCTGGACCCCAGAGTATTTGGAACCTCCCTGTGGGAACGGTCATAGTGTGGGTTACAGGACCACAGTGGGCCCTGCCGGTCTCCTGTCAAGGCGGTGCTTCTGTGGGTGGCAATGCACACTTGAAGTGCCAGCATTTTGGGAGGCTGAGACAGGAAGATCCTTGGGAGTTTGAGGTCAGCCTGAGCTACATCTCGCACACACACGCACACACGCACACGAGATCTTTGTAGTTTTTTTTTTTTTCCTAGTGATACATTATCAGGAGCCCTTAGTTTTCCTGTGATCTAGCAAAATGTGGGAACACAGTGAAATAAATTATTAAAATGAATAAATTTTACTTCAGGAAAATTCAGATTAAGAAACCACTTGATGGGCTGGGGATTTAGCTCAGTGGCACCACGCCTGTCGTGAGACCGCGCCTGTCGTGAGTGCAAGGTAGTGAGTTTGATCCCCAGTATCCCCACGCAGAAACCCCTGGAAAGCCATCTGGAGTGTTCACTGTCCTCCGGTTGTAACACTTTGTGCTTGTTCCCTCATTCCTTTGAAGGCCTCGCCCACAGCCCATCTCCTCTTCACAGACCGCTGGGTCCCACTGCTTCCCCCGGCGCCTGCCTTCAGAAAGCAGTGCCAGGCCTCCTGCACCGCCTTGGAGGCTCGCAGATGGCAGGCTGTTGTATTTAATGTAAATTCAGCTTTTAATTTTGAAACAAGTTATTTTCTTGTGGAATTCCTTGTGTTTTTCTTCCTCTTGCCCCAAGTTCTTCAGCCTTCCGAGTCATACTGTACTGTGTTGTTTTGTCAGTGTTTGGTTGCCTTCTGCTCATTCCCACGGCTGGCGGAGGCCGGCTTCCTCCTGGCGCTGCCCTCACCCACCCAACCCTCAAGGCTGGTGTGTCGGTTCCTCCCTCCCAGCGGTGCCCCACGCGGGCGGAGCTGCCCTTGTACTGAGGCCGCCCAGCGGTGCACGTTTAAACCACGTCTGAGCAGATGCCCGCCGGACCAGGTCCTGGCTCCCCTACCTACCGATTCACCAGCCTCGGTCCCTTCATCTACCAAAAATACACATGAGCTGGCAGGGTGGTGCACACCTATGATCCCAGCCCTCGGGAGGCTGAGGCAGGAGGATGGCCAGGTTTAAGACCAGTCTGGGCAACTCAAGGATGCTCTGCCTCAAAATAAAATTTATAAAGGGGTGGGGATGTAGCTCAGTGGTAAGCACTGGATCCTAGGTTCAATCCCCAGAACAATAAGAGTTCTTAGTTAACTCGTAAAACAGAAAGTCCTGAATTTAGTAACATACACAAACATGAAGTTCCCCAAAGAGAACTTTAGTTTTAGCTCAGCAGTCTTTATTTGTAAATTGAAAAATCCAGGGGCAAACTGTTTTCTACCATGCTGCATCTTGTTTCAACTTGCTGCAGAATTGATCCCAGCATTGTCTACATTAATGTGGTTCCAGGAGCCTTAAAAATTGAAGAGTGTGTTTTATGCATTAGCTTGGAAGTGGCCACTATGTGGAGCCAGGAATTAATAGCAAGGAGTGTATGTGCGTGTGGTCAGGGTTTCATGTAAAATTGAAATGTGTAGAGAGACGCTATGAAGAAAATGACATCAAACGTGAATGTGGAATGGCTGGATGATGTGGTGCACACTCTAATGTCAGCACTCGGGAGGTTGAGGCAGGAGGATCTTCACTAAGAGTTCAAGGCCAGCCTGGGCTACATAGCGAGACCCTGTTTCAAGAAACAAAACTAACAAAGCTGAGTACAGGGAAGATGAGTGAAGTTCTGAGCACACATCACAAAAGGACAACTTCAATACAAGGTAAGACTTACAACTCCACACCGTGGCTTTGAATTACAGTGCAGGAATCAGAGGCTTAGGCCTTGTTCTGGTTTTTCAGAGGAAACTATACAGAAATAGCCTGGATTTGAGGAAAACAGTAATTGGTGATGAAGGGTGATGTTTCTCTGTGACCCAGAAACAAAAGTGTTAAAAGTTGCCCTGGAAAATGACAGTGTCCCCCAGAGCCCAAGGGGCTACCTGCCCTCCCTATTACCACAAATAAGCAGCCGTGGGTCAGCAAGCCCCACATCGCCCCTCGCACATGGTGGGGCGGGGGAAGCGTCCGCTGCTACCCACCCCCGGCCCCTGTCTGCTGGGATGGTGTGCAGAGGCGCTTTCTGGGTGTAACTGGTTACTGGGTTTATCATCTCCACCTTTCCCTTGGGGTGTTCTGTGGAAATTGAGGTCTGCCAAGATGGTAGCATGTTACTTAAAAAAACAACCCTACCTGAAATCCCAGAACTACTTGGGGAGGCTGAGGCAGGAGCACTGCAAATCAAAGCCCAGCCTGGGCAACTTAGTGACTTAGCAAGGCCCTGTCTCAAAAGTTTAAAAAATGACTGGGGATGTAACAGTGAGAAGGTCCTAGGTTCAATAAACAAAACCCCTGAATCTGTGGTCATTGAGTTTGGCAAAGTCCAACCAAGTAGATTGCTCTGTTGCACAAGTTGTTAGAACTTCCAGTACAGTGATATAACTTCTTAAACCCCAAGGAGAAAAAGTGGTAAACGGTTTGAAACACCTTCTGCTGTCCCCTCTGGCCAGGGCAGCCAGAGAGACCCTGTGGGCTTGGGAGCGGCTGACCGCAGAGTCCGCAGTTTTCAAAAGTCAGTCGAGCAACCAGCGCACACAGTTCTGACCGTGCCATCGCTGGTTCCCACAGGAGAGCACTACCCAAGGCTCTGCTCCCCGCACTCACTGGGCTCACAAGTCCCAGGCACCAGGAGAATGGGACGGCCAGTGCTGCCCTCCATCACAGCTCTCAGCCACTGAGGGCGAGGCAGGAAGGGAGCGTTTGCCCACAGAGGGATGCTCTGAGTTTAGACAGACTTTGGGGGCCAACCTTCTTTCTTCCATCTGTTAACATCACCAAGGGCTGCGTGGCTGTCCTGGGAGAATCTCCTGAGTTTAAAGCATCCGTAAGAAATATGGAAGGGAGTGGCATGTGGTGCTGTACTCCCATGATTCCAGCAAGTTGGGTGGCTGAGTCAGGAGGGTCACCATGAGCTCAAGGCCAGCCTGAGCTACATAGTTCATGACTACACAGTGAGATTCTGTCACCAAATAACCCAATAAAAAAAAAAGAAGAAAATCACTGAA